CATCGACCCCTGCTAGTTTTCCGAGGACCAGTGGGGCATCCGAGGCAAAGGTCGCCCATGCGCCTCATCACCCAGTTCAGCGGCGACAACGGCGCCGTCTCTGGCGAGGTCCGCATCTTCTACAGCAAGCCCAAGAAGGGCAGTGGCGAGTGCATCAGCGCAGAGGCCCACAACATCCACGGCCAGACCTCCAGGCTCGTCTTCGGTCTCGATCGTTCGGCGAAGGCGGCGCGCAGGGAATTCCGCGCGAAGAAAGAGGCTTCTCCAGTTTTACCCGCGAGCAACAGCCAGATCTTCGATGGCGGGGTGATCGCCAGCAGGGCATCATCTACTGCGACAATCTCCCGATCCTGCCCATCGCGGTCGGGGCCGCCAGAGACGCGGCCACCCAGCTCCTCTTCATTCGCGACGGCTGCCGGGAGTTCGAAGTTTTTTTTTTTTTTTTGGGGGGGGGGGGCATTCGCCGACAGTTCGAGCAGTTCTTGCAGACTGCCCTTGAGGCTATCAGTGCCCAGTGGCAGATTTAACAAACTGCCCGCTCCCTGGCGCGGAGCGCATTCGTCGAGCGCCATCTCTTTCACGGCGTGGAACGCTCGCGCTCTTCTCTGCTCTGACCCACGCAAGAGAAAAAACGCGCGGCGCTTCTTGCCCAGGCCCTTAATTACATCATCCTCTTTGCTGTCACTTCAAGAAGTCCACGGTCTCGTCGCGAGCTCGCCCGCGCTCTGCCTCTGGCGCGCGCCCCCGCTGGGTGCTTCCTCTATCCCGCCTCGTGGGCCTGGCGGCATGGCCGCCGTTGTTCCTGGCGGTGGCGGCTGCTCCCCAAGACGCGGAGATGCTTCGCCGCGCCGAGCTGGTCCCTGGACGCGCGCGGAGGCTCCAGGTCAAGTTGCCGCCGCCTTCCCCAGGCGCCCCCATCCCCCGCCCTGCTGGCGGTCTATCATGTCCGCGACCATCAGCGAACGGCGGAGCCCGTTCTTCGCGCTTCGGGCTCCATCCGCGCAGAGACGAGCATCGCCGGCGCGGGGCCCGAGCCGATGGCGATCATTGTCATGGGCGCTTTCAATTTTATGAATGAGGCCCCGCTGGGACTGCAGTCCCCGTTGGTCAACAAGGTGTTGCCGAAGCTACATCGCGCCAGTCTTGAGCACCGTAGCACTTGGGAGCAGCCCCTCGACCTCGTGACTGAAGTTGACCCAGGGGCGCCGATTCACTACGCGGAGCACGCAGCAGCGCACGCGCATCGACAAGCTATGCGCCAGTACCTTGCCGCGGCTCCTGACTCAGTGGCGCGCGAACGCCGACGCCCCCATGGCCCCAGACACCCTCTACATCGGCGCTCCGATGCAGCGCAAACGCTACGCTGGTAGGGCGCGGCAATGCATGCCCCCTGGACAGGCGAGAGCAGCCGCGCCCCCGTGCGAGCCCCGATCCCGCGCGGGGCGCGCTCCCGTTGACATTGGCTCACCCAGGAAACCGTTTCTTTTGCAGGAAGTCCTGGACGGTCTGCCCATCGGCGGCTCCTTCGGACGAGTCCCGGAACCACCGTTCTAGGCGGTTTGCCCACGCTCGGTTTCTTCGGTTTCTTCGGAGTGGGCCCGAGGACTTCGAGAACGATGTTTTTCTGCAAGGAGTCCTAGGCGGTTTGCACATTTTCGGGTCGTTCGAACCGGACCCGAAATTTTTGTTCGCACAGGTCCTATGGGAGTTGGCCACATTCAGGTCGGCCGGTAATTTTTTTTGGTCGTCACATGACCGAAACCGAAAGATTTTGCCGAGGATGTCCTATGCCGTTTGCTCATTTTCGGGTCAGCACACCGCTTGGGATTTACAGTTTTAAACTGCGAAAGGGAACCCGATCCCGCGACCCCGGGCGGGGGTTAGGCTCTGCCCTCGCATTGCACTGGGCCCCTCCAACCAAACGGGGCGCTGGCGCGCCCATCGGCGCGCCGAGTCTGCCCTCGCGACATCGCCCCCGTCCGCCCTCGGGCCCCGCGAGTCTTATCCTGCGCGCGCCACCCCAGATGGCCGCGGCGAGCACGGCGGCGAAATTGGGAAATTTTCGGATCGGCGCAGTATGACTTGGGAATATGATCGCGCATCTGTAATTTACGTCTTGTGGCGAGAGCTCCTGAGGATGACTGGTCTCATCAACCAGTTTCTCAGTTTATCTGTGGGCGCTCGCTCTTCAGGCAGCACTTGGATCTGCTTCTCGAGTTCGCCGACATGAGCGAGCACCCTCCCGCGGTCAAACTTCAGGAGATCACGCGCGCGCAGCCGGCGGCATCCAGGCTCGCCCGCAATGGGCCAACGGATGCGAGAGCCTCTTGCGCGGCTGCAGCTCTCACCACATGTCGTGCGATTTCACGCGCCGTTTGGCGCCGCGACTGGCGGGCGGCGAGAACTCGCTTGCGCCGCCTTGGGTGCGCAGTTCCTGGACATCAGTGACCCAACGAATACTGCGCTCTCTGGCCCCGCCAGACTCCGCCGCAAGTAGGAGGAGCTTCAAAACGCATTTCAGGCCAAGCGCTCAGAGGAGATTCACGCGGAGGCCAAGGCACCCGACGCCCCATGTGCGAGGAGGCGCCCATTTCACAATGCAAATCATTTGCCGTTTTGGCTCAGCGAGCCCGGCTTGCGGGCGGCCCTCGCGCGGCGCGCGGCTGTCGGCGCGCGGGCGTGCTCCAGCGGCCCGCGCGCGTGCGCGACGCGCCGCAGCGGTGTGGCGGCCGGGCGCGGGCGGCCTCCAGCGCCCGCAACCTCGCTCGCCGTCTCCGCCGCGCCCGCCGCGAGGAGCTCGGCCCTTCCCGCGCCTCAGCCCTGGCGGCGCGCATGAAGGTGATCGGGCCCTCCCTGGCAGCCCACTGGGAGCTGGGTGCGTCGCGGGGGCCCGCTGCGGGAAGATGCGGGAGACGCTGGCCGCGGCGCGGCCGCTGCGGACCCCCGATGAGTGCTTGGCCGCCGCGGGCGACTGCTGGCTGGAGTCCGGCAATCGGGCCAAGCGCAGCCCGCCCCCTGGCGCGGCGCGCGGGCCGCCGCCGCTGCCGGCCGGGCCCCCCGCTGCCGTCATGGAGGCGGCTTTGGCGAGCCGGGGCGAGTCGGCAGTCTGCCCGCCGCTCAGTCCAGCGGCCGCCCCTATCACTCCTGCCAGCCTCGCCGATCTGCAAGTCAACGTCGTGCCGCAGGAGCTCGGGGTCGCCGTCGATCATTCATTTTCCTGACGGTCTTCCTGGTCTTCCTGGTCGCCCTGCCGACGATCGCGAGGCTCGCCCTGGACTTCGATCCAGTGGAAGCACCTGTCCTTGAAGCTGCTCCTGCTGATCGCGGAGGTCTCCCCGATGAAGGTGGTCGCGGACCTCTTGCTCATCTTTCTGTTCGCGGCCCTGCCCAGGCCGAGTTGGCTCGCGATGTTGTCTTTCATGCTGATCCTCCTGATGAGGGTGGTCGCGGGCCTCTTGCTCGTCATGTTCGCTGCGACGTCGGCAGTGCGACCTGGTGGATTGCGCGCCGGGCTGTCGCCGATTGATGGCTCACAGATCCTGTTGCTCCTGCTGCCGGCCGCGTGTCTGCCCGCCCTCAGCGCGACGTCCTACGCGAAGATGGTCGTCCAGATGGCCCTCGAGGTGCCTCGTTCACTTTCCCTGCCAACAGTTACCGTGCCCCCGATAGGAGAGGTGGACGCACTGGACTATGTTCCTCGATTTCATCGACAAAGAGGCCTGTCCGTGATGCCCCGCGCCGTTGGTGGAGGGTAGATTTCTGTCACAGTGCTCGCGGCCCTCTTGGTTTCGGTCCTATTTGTTGTCGGTCGGGTCCTTTCGCTCGTTTGTCTGTGGGCCCCGGGGGCCGCCCCTCGTTCTCCTTCGGCCCCCATCGGGCTCTTCCGTCGCGCAACGGCCGCGTGCAGGAGCTATTGTTCCGACGATGACCCGAGGAGAAGTCAAACAAAACATCGCCAAATGCAGAAGCCCATCCAGAAGCGAGGCAAGCTCTGGGCGCCCAAAGGCAAGGTGCTGAAGCTCAAGGTTACCGAGCTGACGCATGACCGCTCATCGACAGAGGACCCCGATGAGATGATATTCCTTGCTCGTCCGCGTCTGCGCCATCATGTGCAGCAGTGCTTAGATAAGCACGTGGTCCCATATGACTTCCCGGAAATGGACATCCCGACCCCGAGCTCGATGAAATTTACTGATCAGGCGGCCGAACAACTCTGCTCCAGGCCCGAGCGGGATCTCGCGCGCGGCGTGGAATAATACCTAGTGTTGCACGGATCCTCCTTGAGAGCACGATCGAGCTCATGAAAGGCTTGCCGCCCCAGCGTGCATTTTCGACTCCCTGATGATGTTCACCCCGAATGGCTCGGCTGACAGGGATGGGCTGCCTGTTTCTCGGCAGGCGAAGGTCACTCGGTCGCTATCTCTGAGAAGTACTGATTGCAAGATCGTCGCGGCCATCATCCGCGACGCGTTTCACCGCGGCAGGATGCACGGGAAGAGTGCGACTGGCATCTGCGCCCACGACTCGGGCGCCATCCCTGCATCGATGCAGATGCTGGAGCCTCCCAGCGGAGTCTTCAATGCCGCGCAGTTCTTGGCGCATCGCACTTTCACAACATTGAGTGCAAGCTGGCCCCGCTGGCCGAACCCTTCTCGCAGTGCGTAGCAGGACAGGTCCAGTGGAAGCTCCAACGCAACGCCCCTCGTTTGGCAAACAAGGTCGTCGCTGAGTCTGCTGAATATCTTGGCGCATGGCTGGGCCCGTGTGTGACAGGCGCTATGAGATGGGGCCCAGTCGCTGAGGGTTGGAAGCGCGCCTCGAACATAATCGCCGACATGAATGCGCCGACCAGGGCATCGATCGCGTTTTTTTTTTTTTTTTTTTTTTTTTTTTTTTTTTTTTTTTTTATATATATATATATATATATATATATATATATATATATATATATATATATTATATAATATATATATATATATATGAACATAGAGCGGCTTCCAAGCTGTCTTACCTGAGTCAGTTGATGCTGCTGCCCTCAAGAATGAAGCGAGCTGAACCCTGGGCATTCAATCGGATATGGCATCTTCCCTTGCTATCCATGCGGCGCGACGACATCCTGGGCATCGGGCCGTGGTCACCGACGCTTGGCGCCGCGTCTTTCAGCCTCGCCAGCATCTCCGCGCTGATGAGGAGCGTCGAGGAGACGATCAAGAATTGGGACCTCTGGCTTCGCCGTCTGCAGGCCGAGGCGAACGAACAGTTGCACCTGAAGGACATCGGCCGCGGCTTCCTGTCGCGTCCGCGCTGGATGTCAAAGCCGATGGCGCCCAACCTCGTGGAGGTTGCTCTCGGTTTTCCGAAAATGGTGGCCGACGCGCAGATGCCATGGTTGTCGGTGCCGGCCGTCTGCAGCGCCGCTCTTGGCCCCTGGCGTGAGGAGAAAATTAAGCTGGCTGTCGCCCGCCCGACTGCGCGTCCTCGCATGCAGCAGCGTTTCGTTCACTCCCACCTTGCCTCGTCCCTCCTCGCTGATCCCCCCCACGCCCCCGACCTTTCTCGCTCGTCTTCGCGCGTGGCTGCCACAGAATGAGGTCGCTCGCTCTTCGCAGATCGAGCGGGAGCCCATCAAAGCGGTCCTCATTTCGTCCTTTCCCCCCCGCGCATTCGGCCCATCTCAAGACATGGCCGGGGGGGGGGCGACCAGCCGTCGGCTGCACGCCAAAGAGCGTAAGGCCCGTGGTCCTCGCGTGTTTGGATGCTCTGCTCTGAGCTTCCTGAACGCCTCTGACTGCATGCCTCACCATATGTTTCGTTTTCATGTATGGCATGCTGCATGTCGGTCCTTGTTCGGGAGAGTTCCAGTTCCGTCCAGCCTGATCGCCCGTTTATGGGTTGTGTGCTTCCGAAGAGGACTGCCGCTCACAGAAGCTGGCTCTCGAACGGTTGGCGATTGCCTTCCATGCGTACAATTTCCAGATCAGGAGTTCTGAATACTGGAACTCTCCTGAGACGGCGCTCTCGAATGCCAGAGCGGGCCATGTGGTGTTGTTCTCTACATGCACACATGTGTCCGCGTAGGCTTCTCGGGACCGTGTGGGCGCCTCTTGAGCGCGATTGATATATGTATGTATACTCACGACTCTATTGGCGCTTCGCGCCATGGCACCTTGGTCCTTGAAGTTTGGCATGCAGGCCGAATGGCAGGAAGGTCGAGCAGACAAATTGGCGATAATTATTTGTTTTTTCTTTGGCATCGCTGTTATTCGAATGTGATTCGTTACTTTCCCTCCATATAGTTATTTGTCCTCATTCTCGCCCTAGCCTGCGAAGTCTGCCCCATCCTCCTCATTTTTTTGCGGAGGCTCCTCCTTGGAGAGTTTTTTGGGGGCCCGCGGGAGCTTCTCAGGCTGTCTTAAGGCCTTCTGGAAACTTCCTGGGCGTCATGGGGGACAATGGAGATTTCCTCGGGCCACCCTGCTTTCAACCGTGGTCTCCCTGAACGACAAGGCCACGGTTTGGAATGCTTCGGAAGGTGTCTTGGGGCCATCTTGGGCCGTCATGGGCTCTTCTGGGCCATCTTATTGTGCCGTGTTGGGGCTCTTTTGGGTTGCGTGGAAACTTTTTCGGATGGTTTTGGGGTGGCGCTCGAGCTTCCCAGGCGGTTTCGGACGCCTGGAAGGCCGAAGAACACGGCACTCCCCAAAGCATGCAAACATTTTAGAACATCAGTGTTTTTCTTTGTTTGGGAAGCCTTTTGGGTGTCTTCGTTGGGTCGCCTTCAGGCGTGTGGTGGGTGTCAACGGCCTCGTGGGGCCCTAGGGGGCGTTCGGCCGCCCTTCTGACCGATGCGTGACCGTTGCCTAGGCCCAGCAAGGGCTTCCAGGAGCTCTGAAACGCTTGGGGGGGCCTCTTGTAGGGGCGTCCAGGGGGTCCTCGGGGCCATGGATTTGGGGGGGCACAGAGGGTCCTGGGGACCTGGGACTCGGGGGGTCCGATTTCGGGGGGGGGGGCCCAGGCAATACAAATACATGAGTGTGTACACGCGCATATAGCATGCATGTCGGGAGCGATCCGAGAACGGGGCCCCACCCCCACTTAAAGGGAGCCAGGCCCAGAACCTAGCCCTCGGACACCCAAGACAGGAGACCCCTAGCGGGCCCTCACCTAGACGCTGTGCGTTCTGCTGAACGCCGTGCCTGGAGACGCGAAGCGTCCATATATATATATATATATATATATATATATATATATATACAAGACTGCATTGGCGCTTCGCGCCATGCACCTTGGTCCTTCAACCCTTGCGCGCGTTGGCGTCTAGCGCGGCCCTCCACGGTCTTTGAACCGCGGCCGGTTCGCGCCCAGTTCCCGGACCTGCACCTTACTTGCTCGCGCCCTCGCTCTGCTGGTCCGCGCGCCACTGGGACTCCATGAGAATGTCCCCGCGGACCGATCAGCGGCGATGAGAGCGGCCGTGGAGGCCCCGGAAAGACAAAACGTCGGACAGAAGGGGCGGGAAAGAAGTGGAGGACGATTTGGGGAGGCGCGGAGAAGGGAGGAATATCATGAGGTAAGGTAAGGTAAGGCACGCATTGCAGGAATTGCAAACCCGCGTAGTGCTGCGTGCTTTGAGGTGCCTCGCGTCGAAGTGGGTCCTGTCCCAGAGCTCTCCGCAGCGCGTGCAGGAGAAGAGGTCTTGCTTCGGACGGCCGTCAGTGGCGCACGCCTTGCACGTCCGAGTGGATCGGTGCAGCTGGCAAGGGCTGAAGTGAGTTCGATCGTGCATGTCCCCGCAACGAGTGCGTTGATAGTCTTTGTGTTGGGGGGCTGACCGTGACTGTGTTTCCCGTCGACTGGCACACGACTTGCAAGCCCGATTGGACTGCTGAAGTTGTGTTGTGGAGAATGATTCTGCAGGCAGGGTCTCGCCACAATCGGAGCAAGCGAATGCAGACATCGAGGATGTGCCGTATGCGACAGCTTAAAAATGTAAGCCAACGGCTACGGATGCATGTGTGCGAACACGTGTGGAAAACAATGTTTCCTTAATAACTTGGAAGGGCCCTCGTGAAACCTCCATGGAACGATTATTCTGGGATGCGATAGGGCATAGGGCAGCAAGCATGCAGGCAACGTACCGGATCCTGGAAATGCTCAGGACATCTACCGAATTCCGGGGAAATGTGCCGAATCCCGGGTTCGCAGCCGATTTCCCGGGAATTTGGTTGCGAACCCGGGATTTCAAGCATTTTGGTGTTTTGCGTGGGATGCCACTGTCTGGCAAACAACGGAGCAGCGCAGCGAAGCCGTTCCGGAGGTGGCGGTCAAGTGGGGCGATTCAGCAGTTTTGAAGCCTCTTGGGGGGCCGTTTTGGCTGCCTTTTGGAGAGCCATTTTGGGGCCTCGTGGGTTCTTTTTGGGAGTCCTCGGGGCCTTTGGAAGCCTCTTGGGGCCTCTTGGGGCCCTCCTGGGGCCTCCTGGGGCCCACTTGGGGCGGAAAGTTAGATGTTTGAACTTTTGATCGCCCTGTGGGGGCTCGTTTGAAGCTTTCTCGGGGCCCTCTTGGGCCTTCTTGGGCGCCTCTTGGGCTGTTTCGGGGCGCTCCAGAGCCGTCTTGGGGCCGTGTTGGGGCCGTTTTGGGGGCCGCCCGGGCCATCTTGGGGCGCTCTTGAGGGCCTCTAGTTCTGTCTTGGAGCGTCGGAAAGCTAAAATGGCGAGAAAGCAGAAAACATCGAAAAACACATCGGAAAATTGACCATTTCGGCCTCCCGGGGCCGTCTTGGGAGGCTTCTTTGGGGCCGCTTGGGGCGTCTTGGGGGCTCCTGAGGCTGTCTTGGGGCTATCTTTGGCGTCTTGGAGCGCTTTGTGCCTGTCTTGGAGCGCTCTTGAGGCACTCGGGACCGCTTCAATGGGCGTCCGGAGGGTCCCAAAGCCCCAGGATCCCTGGAGTCCGGTTTGGGGGGGGGGGGGGTGCGGGGTTTTGCGGCCGCCCGGGCTTGTAAAAATATAGGAAGAGGAATATATACAGCAAACAAAGTGTCACCGAAGTCGTGAATCAGAACTCACATGTGAATCAATCTTCTTTTCCGAGCAGGGACCTCGATAGATTATTTGTAATCTTCACACGCAATGTATATCGTGAAAAAGGCGGCTAGCCTTCAAAAACTCCCCGATCTTGACATGCTCAAGGAATGTCTGACATTCAAAGAGTCAAGCTAAATCGTTCGGCCGGGTCCTCGCTCCCAACCACCCGCACCCGCCCGCGGTCGAAAACAGTCTAGGCGACAGAGTCGTCACTCGGGGAGTCCTCGGCGTCGGGCTCGCTGTCGCAGTCCCCGTCCGTAGGCTCGGCGTCGGACTGCGAAGCCGCCGCCGAAGCAGCAGGTGGAGGCCCGTTCCCGGTTCGCGGCCACAAGTAGGTGATCAAAGACCTGGCCAAAATCGACGGGGGCACTAGTGCAGGAACTGCGTCCAGAGCAGCCCTCGTCAGGGATAGGTCGGGTTTGTCCATGGTGGCGTGGGTCGCTTGCTGTAGCATTTCCGAGATACGTATGTGCTCTGCTGTCACGTCCGTAGTCCCACAGAGGGTCGGCCCACCTGGCGGCGTACGTCACTGACGCCGCCCTCCACGCGAGGCCCACGTGGCTTGTGTCGAGCCAGACCAGCCAGCCACAGGTCGAGCGCTGTGTAGGCTGATCCGCTGTAAAACTGATGCCTGTGGATGTCCATTACTGGCCTGGAAGGAGATGCAAGCAAGGTGAGGTCCAGCAACGTCTGCTGCCAAAACTCGGGTAGGTTCATCCGCGCCCGAGCCTCGGGCGCCGAAAGCAGCTCCGCTGGGTCGTCGTCGCCCGAGAAAAAGAAGTGGCCGGCGCTGCTGTTGACCGAAACATTGACAAGGTCGAGGCCCTCCCAGACTGTCTCGGCCAAAGAGAGAGTATTGTCCGTGAGGGCCGGGAAAATCCTTGCCGCGCTGGACGAGAAGTTGGCGCCTGCCCCCATGATGCGCCCTGCAGCTCCTCCGACTTCCTGTGCCACGTCTGCTGCCACCGGTACCCTACGCGCCAAAAAAGCGGACTCCAGGCGGCCGGTACCAGTCGGGCCACCATTAAGACCGCGCGCGTCAGGTTGCCTGCGCAGCCCCACCTGGCCGCCTTGCCCCAGCACGGCCACCAGGAGCGTCTGCGGCCAGGGGCCCTGGCAGGCGTGTGCGTCGCTCCCGCCTTGGCAGACGCCCAGCGCGGCACTGCTGGCGGAGCCATTCCGCCTGGCGTGGCCACGTCGCCTGGCGGAAGAGGTGATAGGGGAGGAAAGCGGAGTCGCAAAAGCCGATGGAGGTGGTGTGAGTCCCGGTAATAACCACGACCCCGTCGAGGCTGCCGAGGAAAAAGGTGAGGTAGGTATTGGTGGTGGTGTGGAAGCCCTCCAGTTCGCAGGGGTACTTGTCGAAGCCCACGAGCCGTCAGGCTGCCGTCTACTGCCCTTCGGCGCCATTCAGCGCCCTGGCCGCGACCCACGCCCAGTGGTGAGCGGCCCAGTCGAAAGCCGGTCCTCACCTGGCCGTCTTGAGTCCTACGGTTACATGGGCGGCCTGCGCCATGTCGATGTATATTCTGAGAGAACTGTCCACCTTCCAACGGCCTGTCTCACGCATCTGATCGAAAGACATATCCCACGCACTGGCCTCAGAAGCGAAACCCGCTGGGGGACTGTGAGGGGACCACCCCATTGGTAGATTGCATTCGGACTGGATAAGATTCAAAAGCTTCCTGGACTTCTCGAGGGCGCATGGAAATAGGCGGCCACTCGGGGCCGTGCGAGCCTTCAGGAGCCTCAGGATGCCCACGAGGGTCGGATTGTCGGGTTCCAAACTAGCGTTGGACTGGGGTCTCTTGGCCTTGGTGTTGGCCTTCATGCCGAGGCCCACGATGAGAGGCCCCTTGTCCTGTCAGACTCCTCGGGGAAGACGAGATCTGACGTGACGATCCCCAGCATCTCGCTAGGGCGTATCCCCACTTTTCCTTGCAGCACAATCCCGACTCCCAGCCTAGGCTCGCCACGGGCACTGAGCTGAACGCTGACGAAGGCCCGGGCCGTGCTCACCATTGGGACCGTGTGCTTGGTCTGGTGCTTTAGCTCCCAGCCGCGCAGCGCGGCGTGGCATTTGCTCAAGCGGCCCTTCAGCCGCGGGAACTTGAATTCGACGGCTGCGACCAGGCTGGTGAAGTGGCTCTTCAAAAGGGCGGAGGTCGCCTTGTAGTCCAACAAGGTGTCATCCCACTCGTCTGGCGTCCAGGGGGGCGCTCCCTCCGTCAAGCACCACTCATAGAACTCGGCTGCTCGAAGCCGATAAGTTAGCAAAGTTGAGAGTTGCACGCGGCCCTCCAGGTGCGGGTCGTCTGACACTCGAGGGCCTAAAATTAGCACTGCACTGCGCGCGCCACGCGCGCCTGATCTTCCGGCACTGGGGCTCTGCGCCCCTCTTGATCCTGACCGCATCTTCTTTGTCTCTATCCAGGGGAGGTGTATCCTGATCTCCGACGCGCTCGACAACGCACACCTCGTCCTTAGCAAATAACTGACTGGACCTGCTGTGGATCGACCCTTCGCCGCAGCCCCAGCATAGCCCATGTTGTCCTCCAGGCAGAGAACCTTGCACCGATGCGCTTCAGCGACCACCGCCAGGCGAGCCAGGACGCGCAGAGCTGCACGCCTCTCGCCCAGCACGATGCGGTCCGCTCGCCTCCGGAGCCCGGCCTCCGCAGGAACCCACTTCGCCTCGCAGTCGATCCTGGCGGTGGAGCTCACGGGCAGGTGCGGCTCCAGAGACGAGGGCCCTCTGTCTGGCACCTTCTGCAGCATGCCCGGTTTGGCGACTGCCGCACCTGGCCCCGTGCCCGCACACCAGAGCCCCTCCCTCTGCGCCCAGCTCGCGGCGGCCACGACCACGCCGAAGCCGCCCGTGTCGAAGTCCTGGGCGCCCTCGGCGTCGGAGGCGAAAAGCATCTCGAGCAGCGGGGCCCCAAGGTCCGCCCGCGTACAAGCCCACGATGCCCCTCTGCATGGCCATCGCCTCGCGTTGGGCCGAGGGCCACCACCTGCGCCAGCGGCGGCCCTCCTGGCGCGTGAACCGGAAAAGGTGCCGTGGTGCCGACAGCCAGTGTCTGGCCAGCAGCGCGGCCCAGATCCAGACGCCCAGGTCGGACGCCAGGTCGTCCAAGTGCACCCATTCCCGATCGATCATCACCTTCAGCGTCTCGTACAGCAGGGCCGCCTTCCGCCTCGGCACTCGCACCCGAGCTGGGCACGACTCGATCTCGTAGCCCACGATGCGGCCGACCAGGCCGTGCTCCCTGCGGTCCTGCACCACGAAACCGACGTCCTCCAGCGTGTCCCCCACCTGGTGGACCAGCTTGTTGACCTTCGCTTCGCCTGAGCCCTGGGAGCCCCCCTCGGCGGAGATCAGGCCGTCGTTGATGTGCAAGTTGAAGCCCGTGTCCGACGGGCCCAGCACTACCCCCTTCTCGCGTGAGGAGGCCTCGTTGAGGAAGTGGAAGGCGCCCTTGTCCAGCTTGGCCGAGAAGCTCGAGATTCTAGGGACACCGAACTCCGGATCGCTGGTGGCCCGTAGGGCCCGTTTCGTGCTTCGAAATGTCTGCCAGTGTCTTCGCGATGCTTTCCGCCATCCACTCGCACAGGGCTGGTGTATAGGCGGCCAGCTTGGTAGTCTGGAAGGCACCGTTGATCTTGCCTCAGCTCTTCTCGTGTGAGTGGGCCCCGTCGCACCTTCTCGCTCCGTCGGGTCACCACCTTACCGTACCTGTGACTCTCGTAGGCTTCTGTGAAACACCGCCCATCATGCATTGGTCGAACGGAATCCGCTTCGCCTGCGTCCTCTCCTCCAAGCCCTTCAGCATCTCCGTGTCGAAGAGCGAGGGGTAGGGCTTCTCTCCAGGGTCCTCGGGGCGTTCGAGCCCCCAAGCTTCTCCGCGGCTTGCCACGCCGCCACGCAGCGTCAGGTGGTTGAGCATGAGGTGGCTGGCCTCGTCTAAACGCGCGGTCTCCCCAGGCTTCAGTCGCGTCCGAGGTGGGCCCCAGCAGTACTTGCCCCCGTCGGCGCAGAGGGCGCGGACCCCCCAGCCTGAAGCGGGCGCGGCTCCAGGCGGAGCAGGGGGGCCCACCGAAGACCACGTCCACTGAGCCCTCGGTCAACAGAGGCCACAGCTGCTCGAAGGTGTCCACCCGGCCCGGGTCCCACCGCGAGGCCACCGCCAGGTCGACGGAGATCATCAGCAGGCCCAGGCCCAGCTCCTCCGTGATCTTCTCCAGGTAGTGCTGCGCGTCTTGGGCCCTCCGAGGGCCCGCAGAGGGGTGCATGACCACGAAGACGCCACCACTCTGCAGCTTGGCCTGCCGAGCTGCCTCGCACCAACCCGCTACGGAATAGTTGTCCGTCTCGGGGGGGAGGGGGCGCCGCGCTTGCTGCCGCTCAGCCCACTCGCTGTCGTTGAGCATCCTGTAGCTCTCTCTCCACTTGAGTCGCTGCTCGCGGTCCTGGTTCACGAGCGGGCGCTGTAACGTCATGGCGCACACTCTGGCGGTGATCGTCATCAAGATGTGCACGCTGTGGGAGCTGCGCATGACCAGCCGACGCCACATGGGGTAGACCCAGGACTCAGGCACCAGGTCGGCTCGCTGAGACGCGGTGAGTCGGTCCCAGACGGCACGCGCCCGTACCGGGGGAACAGTCTGCCAGCCCCACATCCAACAGGGCACTTCCACGAAAGAGAAAGCTTTACTCTCGCCGAGAGCCGCCGCCGCCCAGCAGTCCGACGGGACATGTAGGCGACTCAACGCCCCTCCCCCGTGCAGCCCGTGCTCTGACCGCTCTCTCACATCCTTGAACATATACTTGGCAGCCACCACCATGATGATCCTCCGGTGCCGACCCCCTGACTTCATGCCCACTGCATTGAAACCTGCGATCGCCTTCACCTGCTCGGGGCCCCCGAAGTGCCAGAGGTTCGGTGGCGCGTCCCGGCGCCCGAAGTACCGCTCGTGCTCCTCCTGGCACCCGCCCACGAAACCGAACTTCTGCTGCAGCTCCTCGAATATCACCTGGCTCAGCTCGGCGCGCTCCACCACGTTGGTCTCGTCGCTGTAGTGCATGGCCTCCTCGGGCCCCAGCGCGTCGAGCATCTTCGCGCTCTTCACCTCCTGCGGCTAGCCCACCTCTTCCACACGAGCTAGCTCCAGCACCGATGGGACGCCTGTCAGACCGCAGTCCCGGCGCGCCTCTGCCAGTCGCTTAGCTTCTCTTACAGCCACCACATGCACTTGGCCGTGCAGACTCCGCATCTTGCCCGAGAGATCGCTGTCGCGGCGGAGTCGGGTGAGGTCCCTGCACGAGCCCGTGCCCATGGAGTTGATCCCACGCACGTACTCGTTCCCGAGAGCCCACAGCGCGAGCTTCCGCTTGAAACGGTGTCGTAGCCGGCTCGACCGACTGCCACCTCCTGAAGGCTTCGCCACCAGCGTGATCGGCAGCAGCGCCTCTTGTCCCGGCTTCGCCGAGATCGCTTGCTGCAGCGTCGGGCCCGTCGTGTCACGCACCTTGGGGACCCATGCCGCTGCCTCGCCCTGCGCCCCGCCCGCAGGCCCGACGGGGCGCGCGGCTGGCCGTCAGGCCTTGGAGAGGGGGCGCCGTCCGCCACCATCCACGTGGGGGCCACGTCTGCAGAGCCTTCCGGCGGCGTGGAACCCAGCATGTGCACGGCCCCGACGCGGTCGCCGCTCCTCTGCTCATACACGTACGATGCCAGCCTCCTCAGGGCGAGCTCCATCATGTCGTCGACGGCCAGCACCTGCATGATCTCCACGTCGCTGGCGCAGCCCCTGAGCCTGAAGTCGATGGTGGTCGACAGGGTCCACAGATCCACCCACACGGGACTGCTCCGACTGCCCTGGTACCTCTGGGCGATCCAGTCCCTCGCACTCGATGGGCCCTCGCCACGAATCATCCGGTATATCTCGGGAGCGGCCTTCTGGAGATCGGCTGGCAGGCTGGACCCCCAGCGCATCTCCTCTGCCCCACCGCGCGACGCCGAGAGGTCGGGCGAGGCGCCGTGGGCCCACGGGCCGCTGCCCACCGACAGCGCCGCCTGGGAGCTGAGGCGTTCGAGGGCCCCGATCAGCTCGGTCTCACGCGGCGCCGTCGTGGTGGCGGCGCCCACATAGCCGTAGTCGCTCAGCAACCGCTTGATCTCCGCCTGGAGCTGCCCCGAGGCCTCGATGGCCCGCGCGCTCTGCCAGAGCCCGCGGCTCCACTGGCAGTCAGACGCCTTGGCACCGCTGAAGGCTGACAGCAGCTGCTTGATCTGGCGCGCCTGGGACACGACTAATTAGGGCATTCTGCGACCCTGGGCGGCGCTCCGGCGCGGCCGCCGTGTCCAGGCCAGGTGCATCCCCCCGAGCCGAGGCGGCGCCTGGGAGCAGGGCCACGCCCGCGCTAGGCGCCCCTGCCCAAGCGCCCACGGCACCCAAGCTGGCGGCGCCAGCTGGCGCGGGGGGCGGGGCGCCCACGGGCGGTGCGGCCCTTGCCGTCGGCCCCGTGGCTCCCAGCGCGCCTGGCCCCATCATCGGGCCAGTCACGCCCGGCACGAAGGGTATCCCTGGAGGCGGCGCACCGCCGTCGGCTCCAGCGTCGTCCGCGGCCACGTCGTAGCTCGGGTCATGTATGGGCCCAGGCGCACCTGAGCTCCCGGAGAGATGCCACGCCTGCGTCTGCTCGGGCACCTGCTTCAGCTGCTCGGCCTCGGCCGCCTGGTCGCAGTACAATCGCCAGCCTTGCCGAGCTGCGTACCAGGCGGCAGGCGGGCCCACCACGATGCACAGCGCCAGCCCGACCAAAACGGCTGCGGCCAGTGGCGGCCAGCTGCGTCACGAGGCTGCCCACGAGCGCCGCGGCCGCCATCGCCGTCCAGAAGGTGGCCCACGCCCAGCTCCCTCGCGGCACGGTTGCGGCCGGTAGAGCTGGCGGGGCAGGGCCACGCTCGAGCACCATCGCAGGTTGGAAGCGGGCGCCTGGGTCTGAAGCACCCGCGAGAGACAGGAGGAGGCCGGCGGATGGCGCCCCTCTCCTCTGTTGCTCAGTGGATCATTGTGCCTTGATCCATTGAGCAGCGGCGGCGTCGACCAAATGCCGGGAACAATCGACGCACCGCACAAGACATTCCCGCCCTATGGCCCCTTCGCTAGCCTAACTGAAAACAAGCCTTCTTAGACTCACTCACCAATCAATCTATGTATATACGTATATATTCACACACATTTATATATACATATATATATATATATATATGTATGCATGTATATAAGTTTTTGAAGCTTATTTAAATATAGATGTATATATACATATGTATGTATACACACTGGGGGGACGAGGCCCCCTGGCCGCGCCCAGGGACCTCCTCGGCGCATGGGGGGACCGGGGCCCCCGGAGGCCCTCACCCGGGGACCAGGGCCCCTTCACGGTTCCAAAACTCGGGCGTAGTAGCGGTATGGGCCGAAGGCCATACACATATATATATATATTATCAAGCCATTGGCTTGCCGACGGACACATCCCTATGCAGTCATGTGTAGCGCAGGGCGCGGGTCTCTCTTCATGCGCTGCGCGCCGCGGGGCGATGTTGAAAGATGGCTGTTGCGGAGCATGCGTGCGCAGGTGCGCTGAGCTCCTTTGTGGGGCACGATCCGCGTGAAGAGTGTGCCGAATAATTCGGGTACCCCCGATCGAACACACCCATTGAGGCCGCAAATGGACCTCCTCCAGGCACGACCCGTGCGAGGCATTTTCCGAAATGAGCGTGGGGACGCGATGCGAAGCTGCCCGTTGGTGCCATGGGTGGAGCTCCTTCTGGGGCATGATTCGCGTGACGGGTGTGCCGACATGGGCGGGGGGTCGCTGTACGAGCTTTGTCTCTGGCCCTTTAGGTTGTATTCTTTGTGGACGCGATTTGCGTGATGGGGTGCGCCGCAATGGCCGGGGGGGCGCAGTGCAGACCCTGCCTTTGGGGCCTTAGGTGGGGATCCCTATGTGCGAACCTTTCTCGGGGGCCGTCCGCGGAACTTGCGGGTCGCGATCCGTGTGAGAGGTGTGCCGAAGTGAGCTGGTCGACGCTATGAAGCTTCCTTCTGGTGCCGCAAATGCAGTTACTTGCGGGGCACGATCCGCGTGAGGAGCGTGTCACTATGCGAACCTTGTCTCTGGGACGTAGGTGGAGCTCCCTGTGGGGCGCGATCCTTGTGAGGGGTGTGCCGACATGGGCGGGGGGACGCTAAGCCAAGCCTGTCTCTGGGGCTGCAGGTGGAGCTCCTTGAGGCGCACGATCAGTGTGATAACATGTGTCCTCCGATGCCGAGCATTTCAGACTACAGCTAGACATTGCTAGAACCTGCGCCAAGCACGCGCGTGGTTCTAGTAGATGTATGTCCCCCGTCCACTCATCATCCTATGCTTCCTCCTGCCTACTCGCACGCCTGGCGCCCATGCCGCGGCGAGCGCCTGCCATGGCGAGGCCTTGATACACGAGTGGGCCGCCGGGCTCAAGACCTTCTGGGGCCGCGGGGTCTTCTACGTGTTTCAAGGCGCACCCGCCGCCTTCTGCGCGAGGGAAGATGGATCACATGTCGAGCGTGATGGATCACACACCTCTGTATACATACATATAAATGTGTACGTACACATACCCACATGCATCTATATATAGTACATACATGCATGCATGCATGCATGCATGCATGCATGCATGCATGCAGACAGACACACAGACAGACAGACAGACAGACGGACAGGCAGGCAGGCAGGCAGGCAGACAGACAGACAGACAGACATTTACAGATAGGAGATCCTGGCGCCACCTCGGGGCCAGGACCTCCCTTTTATATTCTCTCCCCCCAGTCAGGTTTCTTGAGGCCCCCGAGGCTCTGGGACCGCCCGGGAGAGCTTCAAGAGCGCCCAGGATGGCCTCCAGACCGCCCAAAATGCCTCCAGGAAGCCCCGAGAGAGCCCCAAGACCGCTCCGAGACGCCCCGAACAGGTTTCAAAAAGCGCAAAGAGGCTCCCCAAGACGGCCCCAAGAGGCCCAAATCGCCCCATTCCCATCGGAAGATGTATAGCTTTCTCATATTCGCTTGTTCGGCCTCAACAGAGTCCAAGACTGCCCAAGAGGCGCCAGAGGGGGTCCCAAAACGGCAGATCGATTCAGCGGCCCCCCCGCCCCCATCCAAAGTCGGTCTCTGGAGGTTGCCGCTTCCGCTCTGGGGGCTTCGACGCAACATTGGACGGGGGAGGGGGGTCGCACCGTTGCGAGAAGAGGACCCCATGACCACGCAGTCCCATGAGGACTCCGAAGCGTTCCCTGAAACCCATGGCCACCTTGGTCAAGTTTCTTCAGGATTGTGGCACTCTGGGAAGCTGCCTGGGAGCCAGGAAAGGTACCGATACCTTACTCCACGGAGTAGGCCAGGACGGGGGGGGGCCAGATCGCGGGGCCCCCAGCGGTCCATGGGGGCCCCCAGCGGCCCGTGGGGGTACAGAGCTCCCAGACAGTTGAAAACGCCCCCCAATCTGGCCCAAGACCGTCCAACATTGCGTCTGGAGCCCCCCGCAGGGCCCCAGGAGGCAAACATCATTTTACTCCTTGCGGAAAACAAGCATTGAATGTTGCACTCTTGGCAGCCTCTAAGACGGTCCAAGAGGCGCCCAAGGAGGCTCCAATACCGCTCCGGCCATTTTGTCTCAAGCAGCACCTCCCCTGTGAGAGTAGTTTTCTCGTTCAGTCGAATTGTTTCACCATGTTGTGGGTCGCGGTCACGGCGTTGTACCTTGTTACGGGTATGGCGTTGCGGCTCCAAGCGACATCGCAGAACTCACACGAACTTGAGCGCAATACAGAGTTCAAGGCTGTAATTGTACATTGCGATAATCGGCCCCTGAATAGCAAGAAGCCTGCCGAAGTGAAGATTGAGGACATGCTGTTTGTCGAGTTGGCTTCTATGGTAGATTACGCCTACGCTCAGAAACACGGTTATGAATTTGCCCATTACGTGATGCCGCAGCGTGTTTCGCATGCGCGTTATGGTGAGCGTGAGAGTCCTTGGGGTAAGCTTCTTGTGTTAAAGCATATTGGTAATACGTATCCTGACGCCGATCTCTTGATGATTCACGATTCTGACACCGCCATCATGGATCATGCACCAAGCCTTCTTGAATTCATGAATTCTTTCACACCGTCCGAGTATGACCTCAAACATTGGGACGGACACTCGGATTTGACCGAGCAGTGTTATCCCGTGACAGATGTTCGTACTTCCAAGCATCTGAAAGAGAAATCGGGAATATGGTTGAACCAGGGGTGCAAGGGCCATTTGATTTTGGCAAAGCCTGGCCAGACGACCTCGGAGATCCTGAAAAAGGCATGGAATTACCCTTTTAATGGCCGAGGGAATGATGCATTCCCTTGGGAGCAAGCAGCCTAGGACCATCTGGCAATGGAGCGCACGCCTGGCTTGATGATGATTGGAGGGGTGAATGTTACGCGGAACCCGGACCCTAAAGCCGCAAAGTGCCCCGCGGGAATTGAAGTTCTTGGTTTCAATACACATGTATGCCATTTCCAAGATGATTCGATGTTGATGGCCGTTTACGGAGACTGGTCCGCAAGGACCCGGATTAGAGAAACACTTGGATGTGGAGCAGATTGGAAGACCAAGTGCAAGAACAATTCGATGTACGAGAAGAGCGTTTCTGAACACGACAGCCGCCATGGGAATCGCAAGATTTTTTTTGAACATGTTGAGGGATCTCGGGTATGATGATCGAGGAATACACAAGCTTTATCGCGAAATGCGCGCGACGGTGAAGCACTTCAGACAAGATGAAGCAGACGCTGTAGCCGCCCAGCTCGATGACCCGGATGCCACACTCCCGAGATTGAGCGCACAGCGAGTCAACCCATTCGCATTCAGATTCAAGGCCGAAGCCAAGATAGAAGATTTGATTCCAGAAGGGTCAAGGCAAAGAAATTGTTGGTGTGACGGGCCGCGGGCCTAACGCCGTCCATGCCATGCCAGTTGTTTTTGCTTTTGCTGGCGGAGGCGATCATTTATTTCATTCCGCCTTGCGTGCACACCCGTGGGCAATCGACCAGACAAGTGCGCGCCAGGCTGATGCGTCTCCGGTGGGGGGGGAAAAACAAAAAAGGAGGCTCCAATACCGCTTACCTCCCCCCAAACACGACCCAAGAGGACCCCAAGACGGTTCATGAGAGAGCCCCAAGAGGGCCTCAAGAGGGTGCCAAAATGGGACGTGGGGCGCTATTTTGGGAGATGCGGCTCCCAACACGCCCCCAACACCTTCGTGGAGCCTCCGGATTCCCCAAGAAACCCCAAATAGGACTCCAAACCAAATTCTTCCATGAGGCCTCCCAATGGCCCCCAGAAGCGTATGAGGCGTCTCGCGTCTACAGAGAGGCTTCCAGAGGCCCCCAACTTAAGATCTATCTCAGGACTTGAAGAGGCCCCTGAGAAACACGCCGCGAGGCCCCGAGCGGCACCCAAGACGCCCCGACCTCACGATCAAGGTCAAGGGTATGCCGGCATGGGCGCGGCGGCGGCATGCCAACCTTGGCTCTAGGGCTGGCGGTGGAGCTCCCTGTGGGGTACGATCCGTGTGAGGAGGCAGTCAACATACACAGGGGGACGTGATGGTATGTGACTCTTCCCACCTCGGGCCGCACGTGGAATTACATCCGTTCGGGCACGACCCGTGTGAAGGGTGGACCGAGATGTGGGAGGGGCGCCATGCAAACCTTGTGCCTGGATCCGAAACTGGAGCGCACGGGGGGGGGTCGGTCCGTGTGAGGGCCGTGCCGAAATTGGTGGGGGAACGCTCTGTGAACCCCGCCTTCC